CTGCTGAAGCATAAAAGCATTCACAGGAACTGCTTCAAGGGCGGGTTGAAAACAACAGGATCATAAGTTACACCAAAATGGTTTTATCCACGTTAATCACGGTTGTCTCGAGCGTTCCAGATTTCCTGTCCCTGCACTCAAAGGATTCAGCAGCAGCACCACGACTACAAACATAACCATGGGTGTAAGCAAACTTGCAAGGCTCTTCTTCCTCCGCCCTCCAGGACATGGGAGGCTTTGTCTGCAGCCTTTGTTCTCCTGATGACACAGGAAGCCTGTTCTCACCCTTCCCAACGCACAGCTCGGAGGGGACTGGATCCAGAAGGGAAAAAACAAAAAGGGGTTTTGTGCTCGGTCACCGCTCACACAAGACGCACGCGTTCACATCGGCTGGGGCCACCCCGGAGGAGAGCCGAGCGCAGCCAGAGCTGCCACGGTGCAGGTTTCGGAGCCAGATAAAGCACACCGGGCCACGTGCCGAGGATGAAACATTTAAGAGACAGCTTTGTAGCTCCTGGTGTAGCTCGCTGTGAAGTCCCCTGGGACAAGACCCCTGGGGGTCCCTTCTGGGGCTGCTGCCGCAGAGCTGGCCGCGGCATCCTGAGCTGTGGCTCCTTTCCACCCTCCTCAGGGAGGGAAAGCAGCAACCAAAAACCCGTGGTGTATCCCCAAAGAAGCCCTCCCGCTAGCGTGGGACTCGCTTTTATCCATCCACCCTCTCCAAAACCCAAGTTAGGTGCTGTGGTTGATAAAACAGGCAGGGGCATCGGAAACAGGAGGGAGCTTTTCCCACCGATGCACAAAACCAAACCACAAGAGCGGGGCCAAGAAGCCCTCCTGCAGCGAGCTGGGCATGAACTGGGGGCGCACACGGGACCGGGACCACCACGTGGAGCCCCCCAAGCCTGGGGGTCCCGCAGCTCGAACCGCAGACCCTGGAGCTCCGCGGGCACGAGCAGGCGACGGAGGCGAAGCCGTGCGGGCTGCTACCCCCTGCTCGGCCAGGCTGTGCCTGCCACGCTGTCAAAACCGAGTTTATCTTAATACAAACAAGCGCGATTCAGAGCACAAAGCCTCGTTTCTTTTTCAGAACCGCAACAAATTATCCCCCCCCTCTTTTGGCAGCCCTTCGCCCAGCCTACGGAAAGCGCTGGCTGCGCGGAGGCAGAGGCGGCAGGCGGGGCGGAGAGCCCCGAGGGGCTTCCAGGCTGCAGGAGGGTGCTCAGGGGGGAGCAGGGGGCAGGAGGAACGCGGGGAGGACCAGGACTTCAGGGTGGGATCCCAAGCACCAGCCCCAAAACCATCACAGCAACAAGAGCAATGAGCCACCGTGACCTTAATGCTTCTCCATTTGGCCACCTCTCTGCCCCCACGATGCCACCAGAGCTGGAGGAGGCGCAGAGCAGAGCTGGAGATGCTCCTGCTGCTCACCAGCCTCAGCATCCTCCCCTGGCCCTTCTGGAACAGGGTACCAGGTGCCAGGAGGGGATGAGCTGGATGCCGCATCCATAGGAAAAACATCCCACAAGGATTTCCAGGTTGTTTTTTCTCCATCCATATTCTGAGCTGGGCACAGAACTGGTGCTGCCCCTGGAAAAACAGGGAACGTGGCCATGCAAAGGGGACGCAGCAGATCCCTCTTCAGCCCTCTGCAGCCACAGGCACGAGCGAAAGCCACGAGGTCCTGATTCTTATTTTTAAACAGATATCAGCTTTAAAGCAGAACTGAATGTTATTTGCCCGTGAGGAGTTTCACAGCCAACAAGCAGCAAATCCACTGCTGTAAGTACTCCTTTCCCGAGCAGGAGGACCCCTAAAGCAGCCCCCGGTCCCACAGCACCACGGAGCACCCGTGTGGCTCCCAGGCTGCTGTGGTAACACCATCAGCTTCCTGCCCCTGAAAGCTTCTGTTCTCTAAAAGCTGTTGGTCTGGGCTCCTTTCACCTCGCACATTTTGCTGAGTTTCCTATCGGGCTCCGGCAAACCCTGCCGGGTCGCAGGGCGCCGTGTCCTCCCGCTTGGTTCCACTCCCTGCCAGCAGCCTGGAAACCCCTTCCCGGAGCAGCAGGGCTCGAGCTCAGCTCAACGCTACGGCTCCCGCATCCAAGGGCGTTGGGGCGGATGGAACAGCAGCTCCTTCCTCTGCAGGATACAACGCGCTGTTAAAAAACACCACTAATAACCAGACAACCGCCGGGCTGCTCGAAACGGGACCCCTCAGCGGGGTGCCCGTCCTGCCCCACGCACCCAGCACCCCAGCACCCCAGTGCTCAGTGGCACCCCGAGCGCTGGCACCGTGCCGGAGCCGGGACCCACGCTGCTAGCACCAGAATCGGTGCCATTTAAGCAAGAGCTCAAATTTGTGTTGAGAACCACAAGCACCTGGCTGCTCGCTCCAGCTGTAGTCACCTCGAAGGCTGAAGACAGCAGCAGCCAAGCACAGCCTCAGCCCTGCAGCCCTGCAGCGGACCCACACCTTGCAGGAGGGGCTGCGCGGCTGCTCCCCGATAGCGATGCTAGCAGGGATCTCACCTCCTCTGAGAGCAACCCCAAAACCAGCGGGCAGCCTGCTGCGGAAGCACCTGCAGCCACGAGCACACCGCAGTGATTTTCTTTCGGTTCTGCTCCAGCTCGCTCTCAAGCTCCTTTCCTTTTTCCTTTCCTTTCCTCCCTGCAGGACAAGTGCCACGCGCTGCAGCCTGGCCAGGAGCAGCTGGGGGCAAGCAGCCTCCAAAGCTGCCCTCGCTCACGTTTCCTCCTCCCCCATCATCCACGGGGACACTCATTACCCTAACCCCTAACTCAGGAGCACACCCACACTAAAAAAACACCTTTTACGCCGTGTGCCATCCACAACAGCTCTGTCCCGCTGCTAGAGCCCCGTTTCCTTCCTCTGGAGACCCAAAAATAGCTCAAGCATCAGCCTTTGGCAGCGCCCCGTGGGCCATGGGGGCCGTGCTGCCAGCAGCAGCATCACTGCGGGCGTACACGTCCCGGGGAGCATCGATGTGGAAGGGGAGCGAGGGATGTGGAGGTATCAGAAAGGCAAACGAGGACTGAAAGGAGCTTCAGGGTCCTGCTGGACAGGGGGACTTGAGCACCCAGCAGGGAATCACTGCCTTGCAGGGGGAAAAGCAGCACCAGGAGCACCCCGCACACCTAGTGCTGTGCCAAAACGGGGTGCAGTCGGAGAAGGAAACGCTTTCAGCACGTGGGAGCTGTTGGGAGTACAAACTACACGATTCCCCGAGGCCAAACTCACTGTGTCAGCACACCGAACACCACGAGCACAGCCCAGCACCCTACAGCTGCCCGGACCCACCTGCAGGAAGGGACGGGGAAGGCACAGCTCCTCGCAGGGCAGCGGGGATACCCTACCTGCAGCCCGGAGCTGGAAACCAGACGGTCTTTGGGGAGAAGCCGCCGAGCACAGCCTAAAAGCAAGGCGTCGTTTTGCAAAACCGAAAGCTGTTTGGGGGCAGGGGGTGAGGGGATGCTGCGGGGCTCCAAGCAAAGCTCAGCTGAGGACGAGCGGCGAGAGAAAGTCAAAACAGGAGTAAAATGGAAAGAAATTACGTAGGCAATTGTTGTAACGAGTATCAATTACTGGCTACACGGAGTTACACAATGCGAGAAGCAACTCTGGAGCCGGGGAAGTGTTTATAGCTGGAAGCAGCAGCGGGTCAGAATGACTCAGAGAGCACAGACTGCGTCCTGCTGCAGCCTCAGCCTCAGCCCGGCTGGTTGTGATGACCCCAATTCAACGCTGTTACAGCCCAAAACGCTGCTCCCCGAGGGGAGGAAACCTTTCCCCAGTCAGCCTCCAGCACCTGTTCAGGGAGCAGCACCTCTTCTTTTGGAGAGGTGCCCCCAGCGGGCAGAGGAATGCATCAGATAGCTTTTATCCATCCTCATGACGGGGTTCCAGGGCTACGGGGGGCTTTTACCTGAGCTCTTCCACAGCCGGACCCCGCAGTGCTGCCTGCTGTGAGCACCACGAGGAGGTGGGAGGTTGATAGAGCTCAGCACACCTGGCAAAAAGCTCTGGAAAGCAGCACGCAGGGAAGGTTAAAAGCTAAAGTTAAAAGCTAAAGACGGAGAGCTTGGCTTAGGGATCGGCTGGCGTGGGGGCAGAGGAAGGCTGGTGGTCAAGGACAGGCGTCTGAAGGGTGTAAATATTAAAAGGAAAGTAAAAGAGCACGCTGAAACGGAGCCTGAGCTGATCAGCGAGAAAAAGAGGCCAAAGATCTGCCAGGGCACAGAAGGCGAAGATGCCCCAGTGCCGGGAGCGATGCAAAAATCAGCTGGGCAAACCCTCGGGACTCCTCGTAATTGAGAAGTGGGGGGCTCATGTGGTGCAGGAGGCTTCTCCACCTCCAATCCTCTTCCAGATCAAAACCAGAAAGAAAAAAAAATAAAATACCAGGATGCCAGCAGGACAGCGGCTCCCCATGCGTTACAAATGCTCGGGTCTCCTCCTCCCCTACATGACCCTGCACTGACAAAACCAGTGCCCACGCGCACACCCCGATGCCCGGCACGTCCCAGTGCCTGGTTTCGGGACCTGTCCCCTGCCCTGCCCCAGGTCCCAGCCCGCAGAAATCCCTCCTGCTGCCGGGGAGAACAAAGCGGCTGCGAGCGGCGGTAACGGGGAGGGGAAGGAGACAAAAGCACGGCGCTGCTGGCGAGCCCAGCCGGCCTCCAGACCTTTACACCTCGCTCTCAGCCCCTGGGCACGGACACCCGAGGGCACACCCTGTGCTGGGACCACGGCACCCTCCCCACGCACCCCCAGGAGCTGCCCCGAGCCCCAGCCCCTCGGACCCGGCAGCTTCCCCTGCCTTCATCTCGGCGAGCCCAAAACGCTGCCGGTTCCACGGCCACGGAGCCAAGCCAGCCTTCACCAACAGCCAACAAGCAGCTAACCAAGCAACCCCCTTCCCTGCACACTTTTTCCATGCAGATATCATCAGGCAGAGAGAAAATAATCTCAGGCTGTGTCGTCTTGCAAAGGAAGGAGCCCGACGGCCATTTATTCCGTGGCGTTTAGCTGTTAATTGTTCCAGCCAAGCGATCAGCCAGCACTGAGCTCGTTGGCCCATCAATGCCCCTGGTGTTTCCCTGAGCTCCCCAGCTCCTGGAACCGCGCGCGTGTGGCTCCGTAACCCTCCGGCCCTGCGCGAGTCCCGGATGATTCAGCCGGCTGCGATGACTTGCCGCGCTTAAATTTAGCAGCTTGTGCCACCGCCGCCGCCCCGTGCGCACCTTCCACGCGTCCTCCCCGTGCGGGCGGGCAGCAGGAGGAGGCAGCGGGCTCCTGGTGGCTCCTGGTAGCTCCAGGATGGGAATTCGCTGGCCCCAGCTCCAACTCCTTGGAACAAAACGGGTCAAGAAGCTCCCCACGAACCCCGTCCTTCGTTGCTCCGCACAGCTCCTGGGAGCTCGCAGACCCCACCGCCACCCCCGGCTGCTCCTGCAGAGCACCTCCTTGCTTCTGTCCTGGCCCGAGGTGCCGGGCTGAGCTCCCCGGGGTGCCCGCTGCCTTGGCCCAGCAGCATCGGGCCATGGACAGCATCACTGATGTCTCAGGGGGAAGGGACGAGTGGCTGCAAAGGGACAGCCAGCACCAGACCCCCGCTGAGCCAGGGCAGCAGCTTCCAGCAGCGTGAAACCTCCCCGGACACCCTGCTCGGTTTGGGACTGACCTTAAGGGCTTCAGACACTCCTCCGGGATATATCTCAAAACCTTTCACAGCCGTGTTTTTGCCCCTTTGAAGCGCCAGCACAATTCCTGCAGCACCAGAGGCCAAGCCACCCATCACATCCCCCCGTGCCCCACGGTGGTGACAAAAGGCAGTGACAAGGGGTCCGCGAGCCTGCACGGGGCGCAGGCATCTCACACCAACGGGAACCCAGCGCCTGCTTCTGCTTCCCCACCTGCAGCAGCTCCGGGGGCTGCAGCAAGGCGAGATAAGACGAGATAAGGCTCCTGACACCGCCTGTTATCACGGCAGGGGGCTGCCAGCACCGTGCCCCTCGCAGCCCCTCGGTGGGGACCTCCCCAAGAAGTTCCGCAGCCCCTCTTCGCATCCCCTTTTCGCGGAGGCCTTGCCTTGGAGAGATGCCTCCCGGCTCCTCCCGGGAGAGGTTTTCACCACGAGGAGGAAGAAAAAGCCCCTCTGCCACCCAGCCCTCCTTCACACGTGATAATTTGCTTTGTCATGGCACTTCGGTGCACGCCCGGCAGCTCCGGCTAGAGGAGCAAAGCCCGGCTCCTGGGTGAGCGCACAGCGGCTTCCCGAGGCTGCCTGCACGCCTGAAATAAATCTATTTTACTCCAGGCTTTGTGGCAGCAGCGGCAGCACGGGCCAAGGTACAGAACCGCCGCGAATCCATCCCCATCCCCGGGCGAGCTGCGGGAGCTCTCTCCATTTTGGGTCACACCAGGCAGCCTCCGATTCCACCGCGGCTGAGCTGCTGCAGGGGAACGCCGGCTCAGCGCGCTGCAAAGCAGCAGGAAGAAGGGGAAAAAAAAGGAAAAAAAATAAAAAAAAAAGCATATTGAGGACCATCAGGCCTGCGATAAGCGAGCAGCCCGGTGCCCAGCAGGATTTTGGGGGTGATGGAGGCACCGAGGGCTGCACCCGGGTGGTTTATTCCTGTAGGATGAGGATGGGAGGTGCTGGCTCCCTGCAGCACGGGGGGGCCCAGCGGGGTCGCCGGCTTCTCCCGGTCCTCTCCGTGCCCACCGGGGTGGCAGCGAGGTGGGTGCTGCCTTCGCTCCCCCCCGGAGCTCCTCAAGGACCGGCCGCGGCCACCCCACACCTCGCGGGGCCTCGAGCGAGGTGTCAAGGGAGGCCGGGACCCCGCAGGCGGCCCCCATTTTGGGGGGACCTCCCCGGCCCCAGGAGCGCCCCGGCCTCACCTGCTCGGCCCCGTAGGCCGTGGCGAACTGCACGAACTCCTCCACCCGCACGAAGCCGTCGCCGTCGCGGTCGAGGGCGTCGAAGACGGGGCGGAGGCGGGGAGAGGCCTCGGGGCTGCCCCCCGGGCACTGCTCCGGGGCTGCCCACAGCGGAGCCCCCCCGGTGGGCTCAGGCGCCCAGGGGGCTGCTCCCGGCTCCGGTTCGGGATCCGGCTCCGGTTCCAGCTCCAGTTCTGGCTCTGGTTCCAGTTCCAGCTCCAGTTCTGGCTCCAGTTCTGGATCCGGCTCCGGTTCCGCTCCTGGTTCTGGTTCCAGTTCTGGCTCCGGTTCCAGCTCAGGTTCTGGCTCCGATTCCGGCTCCAATTCTGGTTCTGGCTCCGGTTCCACTCCCGGTTCTGGTTCCAGCTCCGATTCCGGTTCCAGCCCCGGCTCCGGCTCGGGCTCGTCCCCCCGCAGCCCGGGGCGGTCCCGGTCCCCCGTTGGCGGCTCCATGCTCACCCCGCGGCCGCCTCCGCCCGGCTGCTGCCTGCCCCTGCCCCTGCCCCTGCCCCTGCCCCTGCCCGTGCCCGGCGGCTCCCCACAGCTCGGCCATGCCCCGCGGCCATCGCCCCCCTCACATCGCGGCCGGGAGCTCCGCGCTGCCGGCGGCTCCTCCCGCTCCCGGCTTTGTGCGAGGCGGCTCCGGGTCCCCCCCTCCCCGCCCTCCCCGGGGCGGCTCCGCTCGCTCCGGGCCCGGCCCGGCCCCGCCCCGCCTCCGTGCGCCCGCCCGCGCCGCCGCAGCCGGGGCAGGCGGCGGAGAACCGCGGGATTTCTCGCAGCGCCGCAGCGGCCGGCCGGGCGGTGACGTCACCCGGTGGGTTCGCGTCCCCGCCCGCCCCGGTTCCCGGCCGGCCTTAAAGGGGCCGCGCGCGCGCACGTGGGGCCGCAGCACGATGCCCGGCACCAAATCGGCCTTTTTTCGCCCCAAAAGCCCAGCCCAGCTCCCTCGGACAGGAGGCGGGAGGAGGAGTGTGAGCAGCGCCGGGCAGCTGGAGAGGGCTGGGATAAACCTAGGGCTGGGAGAAAGGATTTGGGTTAAAAACCACCAAAACCCCAAAATCCCAAAACCCTAAATCCCAAAACCCCAAAGGGCAGCAGGGCACCCCCAGGGCCACCCGCTGCCTGCTTGGGGGGATCCCCAGCACAGCTCAGCCCCCGGGGGTGCACAGAGGAGGAGAAGACACAGCTCCGCAGAGAAATCCTTTATTGGGGGCTTGGGGGAAGGAGCAACCCGCTCGCAGCCCAGCTCCGGGACAGCCCCACGGGGCTCGGGGCGACCCCAAACCCGCTGGGATTCGCTCCCAGTGTGCCCCCAGGAGCGCCGAGGCTGAGCCCGTGCCCCCAGCAGCACCCCCGCTGCTCACTGCCACCCCGAGACGTCGCGGGGCAGCAGCATTGGGTCTGGTTCTGTCCGTGGGTCGGTCCCAGGCTGTCCGTCAGGGATTTGGGTTCGCTCCCGCAGCCCAGAAATCTGCAAGAGAACCAGGAGGTCGGGAGGACAGCAGGAGGAGGTGGCTGGGAGAGCCCCCTCCCCAAAAAAAAAACAACCCTGGTCCCCAGCAAGGAAGAAAGGGGCTGCAGGGGCTGCCAGAAGCCGAGCGCCGTCCTGCTTCGGGGGACACCTGGAGGCCCCCAAAAGAGCATCCCCCAGCAGGAAGAAAAGACACCACGTCACCCCCAGGCTCAGAGGGGAAAAAACAGCAATTTTTGTCCTCCCCCAGGCTCCTCACGCTGCGTGGCAGCTCACAGCCATGGGCCTGGCATCTCCTGCGGTCCTGGTGCTGGGTTGCTCGAGCCCAGCACCCCCAGTTCGAGCCCAGCACCCCCAGTTCGAGCCCAGCACCCCCAGGCTGCATGGTAGCAGCCTCAGCATGGGCAGAGTTCAGCAGAACAGGACCAAGGCAGGTGGAAAAAGGCAGCAGGATGCCCGCCGGTGCGGCAGCCCTGCCTCTGCGCCACGGGGCAAGAGGGTTTTTGTGCCAGGAGCCCTGCCCTAATCCCAGCGAGGGGGAAAGGCACGTCACCTAGAGCTTAGCAGAGGATGAAGCAATACCCAGCAAGGCGGGGAAGTCGTTGGCAGAGGTGAGCCAGCTCCCGCCGTCCACCACCAGGGTGGTGCCCGTCACGTAGGAGGAGAGGGGGCTCGCCAGGTACAGGGCGCTGTGGGCGATCTCCGTCTTGTTCCCCGCGCGGTGAAGGGGGATGGTGTCAAACCGCCTGGATTCTTCAGCAAATTTTCCACCTGAGCGATGGGAAAAAGGGGTCAGCCACACGCACAGGACCTCTCGCCCGTCCCCGCTCGATCTGGCAGCCCCGCGAGCTGCGTGGCCGCGGCACTCCCCTTGTGGGCAGAGGCAGCAGCCCCGGGGCCTTACCCAGGCGGCGGAAGCCCTCGGTGCCCGTGATGGGGCCCGGTGCCAGGCTGTTGACTCGGATGTTATTGGGACCCCACTCCACAGCAAGGTGACGGGTCATGGCGTCTGGAAAGAGCACAAGAGGGATGAGGCACGGAGAACAAAGCCATTCCTGCAGCTGTCGTGAGGACAAAAAGCCAGGGAGACCGGCCAAGAGCAAAGGGCCCTGGAAGAACACGCCCAGGTGAGAGAAGAGCCTCACCCCAAACCCAAACCCATCAGCCCTAAAAGCACCCACACCGCTTCTTATCCACCCCCCCAAAGAGATTTTCCCACCCCGATATCCAGGGAGAAGCAGCTTCCTTCCTGGCCCCAGGCAGCTTTGCAGAGCCCCAGCGGGGAGGTTCAGGTACCTATAGCGGCCTTGGCAGTGCCGGCGTGCACCTGGAGAGCCTGCCCTCGGTAGCCCAGGGTGGCCGTGATGTTAATGATGACCCCGCCGTGGTCCTGGGGGGGGAAATAAGATGTGGTGTTAGTCAGGGGGCAGCACAGGGTGCTCGGAGGGTGGGCACAGCCACCTCCGTGCTGCTAACACACCCCCGGGCCTCACTGGGAGGTCGGAGGCGCAGGTGACAGCCAGGGGAAAGGAGGGGCAGCAATTTTCCTTCTTCCCAGGCAGGGGGCAGAGCACAGGAAGGTGCTGCTCAAGTCAAAGCCCCTTGGCTGGGGACTGGCAGGATCAGGAGCACGGCTCCTGCTTCCCGCACGGGGGCTGCAGTCCCCAAAAGGGAGCGGGATTTGAGCAGGGTGGGTTTGAGGACGGTGCAGCCCTGCGTGTACAGAGCCTGGTACGCTTCCCTGAGCGCCTCCCAAGTGGGTTTGTGCAACTTCCCCGCTTACCTGAAGCCACTTACCCGGAAATATTTCTCGAAGAGGACTTTGGAGGTGTTGAAGGTGCCCAGCGTGTCGATATCCATCACGGTTTTGAAGGCATTGAAGGACAGGGAGCTGGCTGGGCACAGGAAGTTCCCCGCAGCACCTAGGAACAAGGCGGGGGCTCGGTCAGCACGGGGCCAGGAAACATCGGGCAGCTCGGGGACTTCTGGGGGCACAACATCCCCTCTGTGCTGCTCTCAGGGCCTCGCACCGTCACTGCCCGGCTGCTCCCAGAGCACAGCAGTAAGGCAGAGGCAGCAGACGCAGCCCACGTGCCAGCCTTCCCCTCCCCAGCCCCGGCAGCTCACCATTAACCAGGATGTCGATGCGCTTGAACTCTCTCAGCGCCTCGTCCACCGCAGCCACGATGGTTTGAGGCTGCCTGACGTCTACGGCCAGGGGCAGGCATTGCTGCCCCGTGGCTGCCACCAGCTTTTTTGAGGCCTGGAAGGAAGGAGAAGCGTGATTCTTTCTCTACTCTTCAGAGAGGGTCAGACCCAGCCCTCGCAGTGCACAGCAAATACGTGCACTGCCCGCACGGACACGTGCCACATCCCCTCCTAGAACCGGCTGCACCCCACCAGCCAGCACAGCCAGCGTGTTTAGAACAAAAAAACACAACCCTGGGGCAGGGGAGAGCCCTGCCCCAGTGCAGGGAAGCTGGGGGAGCCAGGGAATTTTGCCCCAGGACTCACTAAGCCCAGCGACCTCCCTGGTGATTGCACACAGCGCGTCCCGAGCAAGATCTCTGCAGGGCAAGTACAAAGGTCGGACCCCAGCAGGGTTCTGACAAAAGCAACCTTTAGATCCAAAACATCGGGAGGTAAAAGGGCAAATGCTGACCAGCAGGCACTGGGGGCTCTCCCCCCGAGGCAGAAGGGGCAGCTCTGTCGCCCAGCAGCTGCCCGGAGCCCCTCCTGCCAGGGGCTCGCCTCTCCCCAGCAGCCCAGGACGTGGAGCACGGGGTAGGACTCAGCCAGAGCCCCGCACAACACCCAGCAACGTCCTGAGTGCCTGCATGGCCTCGTCGGGCTGTTCTCCAAGAAGTTTAGAGCCCCAGCTGCCAAGCACTCCCACCGAGGGTCAAGACCCTGGGAAAGCAGTCCCTGTGCGCTCAGCAGGCTCCGTTCCCTCAGCACTGAAGTTTCTGAGCTCTGCAGCTTGTTTTCTGGCATACGAGCATGAGGGGATGTGGACCTGGGTGGGTCTGTGGGGTCTGCGGCTCTCCCTGTGCCCTGCACTCACCTCCGACACCCGCTGCAGGCTCCTGCTGGCGATGACAGTGCGGCAGCCGTGTCTGGAACAGAAGGGAGAGGTGGCTGGGGGAGGTCGGGGGAGTAAAGAGGGGGTCAGGGGACACGAGGGGTGTCAAGGGGCTAAAGGGGGGGGTCAGGAGACTAAAGGGGGGCAGTCAGGGGACTAAAGGGGGGGTCGGGGGACACGAGGGGGAGTCAGGGGAGTTAACAGGAGGTCAGGGGGCTAAAGGGGGGGGGTCAGGGGATACAAAGGGGGGCATCAGGGGGCTAAAGGGGGGGATCAGGGAACACGAGGGGGAGTCAGGGGACTTAACAGGAGGTCAGGGGGCTAAAGGGGGCATCAGGGGGCTAAAGGGGGGGTCGGGAGACACAAGAGGGTGGTCGGGGGACTAAAGGGGGGGGTCAGGAGGATAAAGGGGGGGGTCAGGGGACTTAACAGGAGGTCAGGGGACACAAGGGGGGGGGTCAGGCGACTAAAGGGGGGGGTCCAAGGATATAGGGTGTGTCAGGGGGCACAAGGGGGGATCTGGCGATTAAAGGGGGGGTGTCCAGGGATACAGGGTGTGTCAGGGGGCACAAGGCGGGGGTCTCGCGGCGACCCTCACCTCATGAAGATCTCTGCGATGCGGAAGCCGATGCCGGAGCCGCCGCCGGTGATGAAGGCCACCTGGCCCCTACAGGGGGGGGGGGAACACGGAGCGGGGCGGGGGGGTCAGAGCCGTGCCCCGGGGCCGCCCCCGGCCCGCCGGGCGCTCACTCACGCCAGGATGTCGGGGCTGCAGAGGTGCCGGTACTCCCGCAGGCACTCGTCGGCCTCCACGTCCCCCGGCGGCCGGGAGGCGGCGGCGCCCTGCGCCATGGCGGCCCCTCACGGCCCCTCACCGCCCCGCTCTGCCCCCCCCGCCCCGCGGCCTGCCGGGAGATGTAGTCCTCTCCCGCCGCAAAGCCTGCTGGGAGTTGTAGTTCCGGGAGTTGTAGTTCAGTGCGCAGCGGGTGTGGGGTGGGCGGCTCCCCGCGGGGCATGCCGGGAGTTGTAGTTTTTGCCTTGTCACCGCCCGCCCGTCCCGGCCTCGGCGCATGCGCCCTCGGGCGGGCGTCGCCTGGCAACGGAGCGGGGCTGGAGCCGGGGCCCACAGCGCCGCCCAGTGCTCCCAGTGCCCCTGTCCCAGTGCTCCCAGTGCCTCCCAGTGACAGCCCGGCCCCTCCCAGTGCCATCCCAGTGCCTCTCAGAGCCCCCGCTCCCACCCTCCCAGTCCCCTCCAGTCCCTCCCAGTTCCCCTGCTGAGCCTCACGCTGTCCCCAGTGCCCCCCAGTGCCCCCCAGTACAGTCCCAGTAACCTCCAGAGCCGTCCCAGTGCCGTGTTGCCTACACCCCAGTGTCACCCCGCTGCTTCCTGGTGACACCTCAGCACCACCCATCACCACCAGAGCCACCCAGCACTTCTTGGCAGCATCTCAGCACCTCCCAGAGCTTCCCACTAACGCCCAGTGACTTCCAGTGCCCTCCCAGTGCTGACCACTGCCACCCCACTGCCATTCAGCACCCCATGGGGTCATCCCGGTGCCCCCCAGAGCTTCCCCGTGACATCCCCGTGCCCCATGACAGAATTGACAAGAGCAGAGCCGTACTGGAGGCACTGGGTTTTAATGGGATGGGGATGGGGGGGAGGAGGCGTCCTGGTGGCCGTCCCTAGGGCCCGTAGGTGTAGTCGCGGTCGCTGCTCTCCCAGGCCACCAGCTCGTCCCGCTGGAACCAGAAGCCGATCTCCCGCAGCGCCGTCTCCACCGAGTCGCTGGCATGCACCACGTTCCTGCGCGGGGACAGGGACGGGGACGTGGCCGCGGGGGTCCCTGCACCGTCCCCGTCCCCACACGCCCCCCCCTTACCTGCTGACGTGCATGCTGAAATCCCCCCGGATTGTCCCCGCCGCCGCCTGTGCCGAGTTGGTGTCCCCCACCATGGCCCGCGTGGAGCGCACCACGTTGTAGCCCTCCCACACCTGCGGGACGGGGGACACCTGAGCTCCACGGCCCCAAAAAGGCCGAGGGGGGGACGTGGGCTGGGTGCTCACCATGGCCACCAGTGGCCCCGAGGTCATGTAGGAGAGGAGCGCGGGGTAGAAGGGCTTCTGCCGCAGCTGCTGGTAGTGCTTGTCCAGGAGGCCCCGGTCCGCCTGGCAGCACCGCGGGGTGACGGCGGGGACACCCGGGGGGTGCCGCCCGCGTCCATCCCCACTGGTTTCGGGTCCCCCGGGGGGGCACAGTGTAAGGACGGGTACCTGGAGCAGCTTCATGGCCACCAGCTTGAACCCGCGCCGCTCGAAGCGCCGGATGACATCGCCCACCAGCCGCCGCTGCACCGCGTCCGGCTTCACCAGCACCAGCGTCTGCTCCCGCAGCTCCGGGGGGGCTACGGGGGGCACGGGGACGCTGAGCCACGGCCACCCCGCTGCTCCCACAAACCCAGCCTTGTCCCCTTTCCTATCCCTGTGGGCCCTGCGATGTCCCCTCCACCAGCGGTGCCTGGGTGGATGCAACCACGAGCCCAAGGGACGTGCAGCGATGCCGTGATGAGCGCCGGGGACGCGTCCAGCACCGCATGGTCCCAGTATGGGATGGGTTTGCTCCAGTTTCAGCTGGTGGCAGGGACTGGCATGGCTGTCACCGTCACCCCCAGCCCATGCCGGAGCCACACAGCAGGGGAAGGCGCAGGCAGGAGCAGGGTGAGGAGGGCACGAGGCTGCCGGGGCAGCGAGCATCCCGCTGCAGTGAGGCAGGAGCCAGGAAAGCAAAGGGGATGCGAAGCCAAGCAAGCCCCAGGGTTATAGGGGACGCTCCGTGCCTGTCCCCCCAGGGCAGAGCAGGACAACCCCGAGCTGGCCCTGGGGACACCGGGGGAGCCACCGCCAGCCCCAGGCTCAGCGCCCAGGGGTCCCCAGCACCAAGCCGGGGGGCATGGGGAGGGGACAGGGTCCCCAGGGACAAGGGTGGGGAAGGGACGGGGTGGCTGGGGGGGAAAGGGACGGGGTCGGGGGCCCTGGGGCTGGCCGGGGCTGGGTCTCACCGGAGCCGTAGGGGCGGGGGGGCCCGAGGGAGAGGCCGAGCTGCCCCCGCAGCAGGCCCCGGGCCAGGCAGCGCCCCAGGGAGCCCATGGCCGGGGCTGGCGGCTCGGAGTTGGCCTCGGCAGCCCGGCTGGAGGCTTTAAACACCCGGCAGGGGCTGGCTCGGCCCTCCCGGACCTCCCCTTAAAGCAGCCGCCGCAGGGAGCCCCCCCCTCGGAGGGGCCCTGCCCTGGGACCTGCAGGGAGCAGAGGCACCAAGCGAGGGTCTCAGGAGAGCTGCAAAGGCTGGGGCAGCCCCCAGCACACACTGGGGGGGGGCTGGCACAGAGGAAGGAGATGCTTTGGGTAAGATTAACGCAGATACCCGCAGACATTTACTGTGATATTTACTCAGCGAGCACCCAACACACAGGGCCGGGTGCTCCCCTGCCACCCCACGTACCCAGGCGCAAGGCGTTGGTGTCCTCCTGCTCCTCACCCTGGGGAACGGAGACAATGAGACAGCACAGCTGGATGCCAGCCCCACAGCCCCGCTGCCTTTGGGACACACGGGGACAGCAGCAGCTCCTCAGCACCTCGGTAAAGCAGGGACAGCTGGAGGGGAGCTGAGGGGACCGGGGATCCACCTCTCACTGAACCTCAACCCCAGCGTGCTGCTAGAGGCAAGGAGGGGGCGTTTTTGTCTTTATCCACAGACCAGTGTGGAATTTAGACTAAGCACTTAAGGTGACCAGCAGAGGAGAAGCATTTTTTAGCAGAGGGGCTCGCAGGTTCCAACCTGGGCTTTGGCTCCCTTCCAGCTGCTGCCCTTGATCAGTTGGCCAGTTGGGGAAAAACACGCACTTTCACCCTCTGTCAGCAAACAGCCATGATCCAAAAGGTTTTGCAAGACAGAAGCAGCAGCCCAGAGCACCGTGCTGGGAGCAGAGCGAAGCCCCCGCTGCCCCTTCCCACCGCAGCCCCAGCTTGCAGCAGGGACCTACAGGGACTGCAGGAACACCCGAACCCACAGAGCTCCAGCAGGACAAGCAGCAGCCATGCCCTCCCCAAGTTTCTCCACAAGAGGACTTTCAGCAGCAGTGAGAGGATGCCCAAAACCTCTCCAGTACTGTAGCAGCACTGCAGGCCTCAGTTAACCTCACTGGGCTGCTCTTCACACCCCCCTTGAGGACTTCTGCAGACGTTCACAGCCTCCTGTTACAGGGTCTGGGATTTGGTTCACCTGCATCTTCCCAGCCGCTCACTGCAGGGTACAAAACCCACAAACAAACCAGCCCCAGTGCATGGCTCCAACTGTACACAGGTTATCCAAACATCTCCCAACAGCCAACGTGGGCATTGCAAAATGGTTTTAACAGAACTAAAGGAACTGTGGAGCGAGTGCTCCCCATGCTTCGCCTCCCCCCCGAGACCTTCCAGCTGCCCACACGCGGCCATCTCACTTCCTGTCCACGTCTGTGAACGTTTTGGGGAGAAAACACACTGATCTGAACAACTGCACAAGGACAGGAGCTATTCCCACCACGCAACCCTGGCTGAACCTGCCCTTGGAGCTGCAAAGAAAAAACAGCGGAGGAGTAAAACCATTTTAATGCTCTGCTCTGGCTACCTGATGAGAGCACCGCAGGGACAAGTGGCTCCCAGCTGCATGATCAGAGACTTCACAAGCCCCACAAAATCCAGTCCAGTTTGAATGGGGACTGGGATTTTAGCCTTATGCTCCAGTGCCAGCGCCAGGTCACTGGCCAGTGGCTGGCCTTCAGCTCAGGTGTCCTGCGACACAACCCTGCTGGCATCAGGAGATTTTCTTCCTGCAGGCAGCTCTTGAGCTTTTTTTTTCTTGAGCAGGATTTTATTCCTGCGTGAGTCCTCTGGCTCCACCGCAGGTAGGGGCTGCAGATCCCCGCCTGCAGCATGAAACACGCCTTGCTGCAGAAGGGCTCGGTGGCAGGCCTGCCTGGAAACTGAAATAAATTAGGAGTTACTTAAAACAACAAAGTAAGCACTTTATTTCCATTAAGCATGTTGTTTTAGTATCACAATGGAATGATGAGAAAACGTTTAAAAAAAACAAAATGTCTCTAATCCCCACAAACAGCAGGGAGGTTTTCAAGGCAATTTAAAAAACAAAGGGAGTGACAGAAGTGCCAAAACAGTCCCAACATCACAAGTCTCCTCCTCCGAGAGCTGGGCAGGGGCAGGAAGGTGGAATGACACGAAGGTACGAATGTCTGAAGTAGTCTTTGGCGCTTCTGCCTCATGATTGATACGCACAAGATCTCTCAAGACAACTCCACAGATATCTCCAGACGCAACAAAGTGCTACGTTAGTCGAACAAAACCCCGGCGAGAGGACTCTCCGTACAGCTGAGATGCCCTGCGGTTGGGCGTTAAGACACATCCTGCAGACAGTGCTGACTCCAGCTGGGGGCCTTTGGGCTGGGAGGGAAGGAGGAAGCGTGGTGCATGAATCCAAGAAGATGTGCCCACCTGCAAGACACCGTGTCCTGCAGTACTGACAAAACCAGGGAGGAGAGAAGGTGGTGGCAAAACGAAACACGGATCCGTTCCCTACAGTGATCAAAACACGAGTCCAGTGCAGTAACTATAGTTTCACAGTTCCAGGGGGCAAACTGTCATTGCAGAGTCTGTAGTAGCGCAGGTCATTCACCAGTCTGTGCACATTCTGGGTAAACGACGGCAGATCCTGGAAGAGATCAAACAGCACGTTGTAATGCAACAACAACTGTACCCACGAGCACCATAAGCCAGCAGAGAACAGAAAGGCACCGGGAGGGCCAAACACCCACGTGTGTTTTCATACAAGAGATTAAGACTATTTCCTCCGGTGTCTGAGCCCA